GGGCCATGTCGTGCGGTGTTGCGCAGGGGTCTGTCCTAGGACCTCTCCTGTGGAACATCGGGTACGACTGGGCCCTACGAGGGCGTCTCCCCCCCCCGGGCTGGGTGTAATCTGCTACGCGGATGACACCTTACTCACGGCCCGGGGGGCTAACTTCCAGGAGGCGGCGCGCCTGGCCGCCACGGGAGTTTCCCAGGTGGTCGGGCGCATTGAGGCGTTGGGATTACGGGTGGCCCTGGATAAAACGGAGGCCCTATTATTTCATGGGCCCCGTCGTGGTCCACCCGCCGGCGCCTCAATCGAGGTCGGCTCGGTCCTCGTACCGGTCCGGGCCCAGATGAGGTACCTGGGTCTGGTCCTAGACGGTAGGTGGCTCTTCGACGAGCACTTCCGACAGCTTGGTCCGAAGCCGGTGAACACTGTCTCCGCCCTAGGGCGACTTTTGCCCAATTTGGGCGGGGCCAATGTTCCCACGAGGCGGCTGTACGCGGGGGTTGTCCGGTCCATGGCGCTTTATGGTGCACCGGTGTGGGTGGCGGCTCTGACCGCCCCGAATAGGGCCATACGCGGATACCGCACGGTGTCCACCGAGGCGGCTTGCGCCTTGGCCGGAACACCCCCGTGGGATTTGGAGGCGGAGGTGCTCGCCGAAGTTTATCGGCGAGTGGCTGACTTCCGGGCGGAGAGCGGATTTCGCCCTCCGCCCGAAGACGTGCGCGAGTGGCGCGAAGCCGCTCGCCGAGCCACCATGGTCAGATGGTCGTTCCGGCTGGAGACTCCACGCGCTGGCTTCGCCGCCGTGGAGGCTCTCCAGCCGGTCATATCCGAGTGGGCAGGGCGGCAGCACGGGGCCCTTTCCTTCCGGCTGACGCAGGTGCTTTCCGGGCACGGTTGCTTCGGAAAGTACCTGCACTCGGTCGCTAGGAGGGAACTGAGTCCCGCCTGCCACCACTGCGACTGCAGTGAGGACTCGGCCCAGCACACGCTGGCGGTCTGCCCCGCATGGGCGACGCAGCGCCGGGCCCTCACTGCAGTCATCGGAGCAGATCTCTCGCTACCGGCCGTAATTCGCTCCATGGCCGGTAGCGACAGGTGTTTTACCGCGGTCGCAACCTTCTGCGAGGAGGTAATCTCGCAGAAGGAGGCGGCGGAGAAGGCCCGGGAGGACGACCTCCACTCGGACCTGATCCGCCGCCGGCGAACCGGGCGGCGGAGGCGCGCTTACCTGCGCCTCATGCCGCCCTGAGTGTGGCCGCGGGTGGACGGGGTGGGTTTCCCCTCCACCCGCATTAGTTGGCCAGCCGCGAGGGGGCGGCGTCCGCGTGTGCCGGACGTCGCCTAAAGAAAGGATAAGTGGAGACGGAGCCCGCACCAGGAGCGGGCCGGCGCTGGGAGGGGTCCAGAAGGCGATAACTACCTGGACCCTCCTAAACTGGAAGCGCAAAGAGGGCACACCGTGTGGTTTTAGTCGGTTCGAGTCCGACACACCACCCCGCCGCAAACCCCGGTGGGGTGACGGTCCGAGGGGATTTCCACACGTTAAAAAAAAAAAAAAAAAAAGGTGGCGCTGTGTACTGTTGAAAGACACGACAAATATAACGAGCGCATAACGCATGGGCACTAGAATCCATACGATTTATTAATTATGATGGAAATCTTAAATTTTACTAATAAGGGATCAGACAAGGCGTTCACTAATTATGATGTGATCTCAAGTTCAGATATATTTGTTTACTTAATTCTAATCCCTCCCAACGCATTGTAACTGTATACGATCGATTCCGACAACAACTAAGTTACGGCCTTAGTAGAACAAAGTTGTGAATCCCGAGGGACAGTTGAGTAATCCATAAATCCCTTAGAGGATCCTCCTTAGGTACTTTCACTTCTGATAATGTTTTATTGTCACATCGAGAACTGTGTTAAATATCTAGTTTTGTAACGACAGATTACTTCCTTCTAAGGCGTTTTGTTTCAGTAAATTACTTTAAGAAGGCACATGGTGTTTGGTTTTTAAAAGAAATGTGACGAATAACAGTGTAACTGATTATTTTTTCATAGATTCAAATTGGTTGACGTACAAGAGAAATTTGGGACCTAACCAAGTCAAATTAAGGTTAGGCTTCTATCAAGGCACGTTTACAGTAACAATAGCGAGTTAGTGCAAGCACGGGTAGGCTTATGGCAGATTTAGGTAATTAGTTATAGCAATATGCAAGTACATTGATGCTCTGTAAAAATATGTTCATGTACACTAAAAAAACTTATATCAGTGAAAACTATGACAACGAGTAACCAAAAAGGTTTTATACATTGTTCGATACCGAAGAACTTAATGAGATGAGAGTGTTCTAATACAGGTGATTACTTGATCTTGAGGCTATTATACATTATGATGATCCGACTTTATCTAAACATAGAAATTCATGTACGTCATAACCTATGAAATAGATAAGTTTAATGTTAATGTCACCCGATATGTGGTAATATTTATATTCATTGGATAGTAAATTGTGAGCTCCTTAGCTATAAAACGTTGGATGTGATAGAATACGATTAACTCTATATAGAGAAGCGATAGCAATAGAAACTGTTATCCGTAGATTTTTATATTCATTTTTTTGTGTGTGTTTAAGTTTCGAAAAACAGTACTATAAACCTTAACATTCATCTTTCTGTTCTACTAATAAGTTACTAGCTTTTGCCCGCGGCTCTGACCGCGTGTATGACGGTTATCGCGGTAAAAAGAAGCCTATGTTACTCGCTGATAATTTAGCTTCCAAAGAATGTAAAAAATCGGTTTAGTGGTTTAGGTGTAAAAGCGTAACAAACAAACAAACTCGCTTTCACATCTATGATATAAGTATGGATATTTAACGATTTTTGCTTTTTTCCGTTTTCCTGTAATCTCTGTTTAAAAAAAATATATTGTAACAAGAAATTTTTCAAAACAAATATTTTGCCAAAGACGACACATTTTATAAAGCCCTGATATGGTGCTATGGTGTATAGCATAGCGCTAAGTATATAACATAGCGCTAAGTATATAACATAACGCTAAGTATATAACATAGCGCTAAGTATATAACATAGCACCACACAGACTCATTATGAAATTAATACGGGTACAACCTAAAACCTCAGAGCACAATTGATAGTTTTATAAGACTCATGAATAGCACCTGCAATAAATGTTGGTAATTCTTACCCTGCTCCTTTATGATCTGAGCGAGGCTCAACTTTAATGTTATTTTAAGACTTGCATGGACTAACTTAGTCAATCAAGAAGTTTGGAAATGTAAGAATGCTCGTTAAACATAAACTTGAAGATCACTTTATGTTCTCATTAGAAACATGTCTAATTAATGCGTTATGGGCAAATCCTGCAAAGTTACTAGGGTTGACAAAAGGTCTTCGTGTGGTTTAATGTTTAGGTCATTGAAAGTCATATTACAGGCTTAGATATATATGATTTTTATGACACAAAAAAATTCTGTCACTATTGCTGCAAGTTACAAAAAGTATATGCGCATCATGAGTCAAACTTAAGAAGTAGTGGTAATGTCTTATCGCTAACTTACATTTTGCTTTCATTGAACACTGATTAATACTATGTCAAATATAGAAAAATAATATAAACACAGCGCGTGTAATTTTCATTTTTCACGGTTAGTATAAAGTCACGACGTTATCAAAAAACTCCTGAAAAAGTCGTTATATTTTCTTAAAACTGACATTTAAATATGAACAAAACTTATACAGAGCTATCTGTTTACCTTATCCAACGCTATATTCCCTAGACTGGCTCATATATCTTACACGTAAAAGGCTTACTCTCCATTCTCCCAATTAAACTAATTACGACCTAACATCGGAATGTCAGAAGCATCAATCATCGTGACCGCTAAACCCCAATGTTAAGCGCTCCTTGAATACTATAAGTTGACTAAATTACTTTCATAAGGTCATCGTTTCGAACGTCGTTTGAAACAGTCTACCGGCTCTCGAAAACGTATTGTTCTCCATCTATTTTATATGTACGCTAATATCAGTGCAATACTGAGCTATGATTAAATGTATGTTAGATAATCTTCTATTGATCTTTTACCATTATAACTCGATGAGGAATTGCGTACTGCATACATTTTTTGAAATACACACATTGTTTATGTTCACTTCTCATACAATTAAAGAAATATTGCTGCACTTAAATTGACTTCCATGCATTACTATAGCCCGTAGTGTACCGTAGTTACCGCTTCCTACTACTAATGATGTATGAACATATAATATGAGCACTGAATAAATAGGCTTTAAAATTTTATTACGTCTATCTATCTATCTATCTAGACATAAAGTTCTGACAACCCTCAAGTCTTAAAAACCGTGGCTGTGAGTAACTAAATTGGATACGTTTGAATCATAAATCTTAACTATCTCAATACTGTAACTAGTTCACCCTTGAATACAATTAGTTCTGTTTCCTTCAGACGTTGCTTCACGCAAGGTTTTGTGGGATGTACACACGCAACTGATACTATTATGATTGTCTCTTTATAACAATGTGTAACAAGGTAACAAAGAAATAATAAAGCAACAATAATAAACTCGTCTCTTTTTTTAACCATATAAGCTATTGTTCTTAACATGCATCTGTTGCGTGACACAGTCATCATCAAGAGTGCTATGAGATGTTAAAAATTAATATAATGTAATATTTATAAAGTTCACAATTTTAATTGTGTAAGTTATTGTGTGTCAGTGGGTTAGTTTTTCGCATAACTTTATTCAAGACATTCTGGTGCGCATCATTTTGAGATCGTCAGTTTAATGGTCGAGGTGCAAGAAATCTTCTTTAAGCTCAATTCAGTATTGCCGGCGCGACGAAGACGTTTTGAAGATTATTATACATATTAGTATATGTGACAGTAGTGCTTGTAAAATTAGCTCTTACATTCATTACCAAAGATAGAAGTCGAATTGGGCAAAGCAGCAAAAATATGAAGTCAGATAACCTGTATTATCACATCCAGAATGCGGTAGGCCGCTCCTGTCCTAGTGACCTAGTGACACGGCACCTTATTGCCAGAAGCAAAAAGCCTCACTTTGTGAGCCCGAACAAATATAAACCTGTACGCAAATGTTCCGCACGAATAGCCGACCACAACTGTCGCGCTCGCTGTCCAAACAGTGATAAATGATTACTCCGTTTTACATGACGTACTTCATCATCATCATCGTTGACAGCCCCTTATTGTCCACTGCTGGACTGGAAAAGAAGTTTTAGCTTACTATACCACGCCAGCCAGAAGAGTTGGTATAAGGGTTTATTTTAATTTTCCTTCTCTTTGCAGTGCTGTTGTCCTGCAGAGTTTGCTCCATTAGTCGGCCCTTATGACACCCACGGGATGATTAAGGGTGATGACACTAGATATTCTTAATCCGTCACCACAAGAGCACGACCTGTACTTGGGAGTGTCAGTAAACGATTTTTCATTTGCATTATCTACTACTAATTGACAATTTTTTTTTTTTTAAGAAACAACTTCCGCATTAGGAATATACCCTGTGTCGCGATACAGGGTATATTCCTAATGCGGGGCCTTTACAAACATACATGAAACGGACACAAAGAACACCCAGACTTAGAACACCAATTTGTGGATCACACAAAGTGTCGTCCTATGTGGGGATCGGACCCACAACACTCGGCGTAGTTGTAAGCGGCGTGGCAACCGCTTTAACCACTACGCCATCCGTGCAGTCACAATATATTTAATGAAATCAAAGAAAATCAATATATGTATTTGTGTGTAATATTAATTAACTCAGGACTAAATGCGAATGCGCTGTCTTGACTTATCTATTTAAAAAGTGTGATGTCATAAATTACTCAAATGCGGTGATGTAAATGTTTGTTATGTACAAATATTTAGGACTGTACCAAAAAAAGGCCTTTGGACGGAAAGATCAGCTACAAGTAAATGTCAACCCAATAACATATTGGAACGTAATTAAAAATGTCCTTGTTATATGTATATGACAAGGATAACAAGCAGTTTAATAAATCGGTTCTTTGTCTAGTCGAAATTGGAATGTGGTGTCTGTAATATATCGAGAAAACTGATGTTGCATATTTGATTTACATACAAAAGGGAATCAATACCAGGCGGTACGTTAAATAAATCCGCTTTGTCTCGCGCTGTCTAGTACTCAGATTGCATTCCCTCCCCTCGTAAACTCCTAACTTATGTCCCACTGCACATCGCGAATAAAACACCAAACTCGTGCAATTTCTCTGTGTCGACAACTAGTTTCTACTTTTCTCACGATGTTCTAATTCCTATATTAAGTTGTTCTTGTCTTTTCACGCTGCATTTTTAACATAACAGGCCAACGAGAAATTATAAGCTCTTTATTTGCATCGAACTTGTTACGAGCTCGACTTACCACTTAACAACTTAAACAAAACACATATGTAGTCCGACACGTGGTATATATCAAATGCATTGTGTAACATACACAATAGGTGAATGAATGCAAATAATGGCGATCGAAATGCACTCGTATAACTAACCTGTACACATAGCTAAACACTAATTCATAAGGCACTGTTCCATAGTTTAATAGGGATTATATTGAACTTAAACCTCATTAACATCTTTTCACTATTTATAAAATATGTTATATTTAAAAGTCATTTCAAACATTTAGAAATTACTTTTTGGTCTATTTTATCCTAAATACGAATGAGACAAGACCCAGTTTTCGTCCAATAGACGTGTTTGATATTGGAAAAAATATTTGATTAGAAATATAGTCAAAAAAGTTAGTTTGGCATTAATTTCATGCATGGAATTAACATTCTAAAGCTCTGTCTATCAAGTATCAAAAACACACTGCATAGGTTTTTACAACTTCAATGTTTCTTTAAAATAAGATAATATTAAACTTGGCAATATATCATTCGCTCCTGTTATAATAATATGTCCAGTAAATTTCGTTATACATTTTCACTTGGCACTTGTGTATTAACGAAATCTCGGTCCTAAATGTCTGTACCTGAAATTTATTCATAACTGATATTAGATATACTCGTAGCTAAACAAGTGTTGTTATACCTTCATTTTGTTTTTCGAATACATTGAAAATCACAAGAAATAAAATAAGTAATCATCATCAGTAAAGGTCACAGAGCAAACGACACAATTCAGTGAAAACATTACTTCATTCTAAAACATCAGCTTTAAGCACCCTTACATAAAAACTCGGTAGAATTATTAGTCTACAGATTTCAAATCGAAAGCATTAAGGTAGGAGGAGTCGAATTAAGATTTAGTAGCATTCGCATATTTTACTCGAATAAAAAATCACGGTCGGTGTTCATTTTCAGGCCTATTTATTATTCTTCGAAATTGAATTGCATTTTACCAACTGTTGGGATTAAACTTTTCTAAATCTACGTCGTCTCTGCGATCCCTTTTGTCCTATTTCTGAGCTAGTAGTCCGTATCTACTTTATCTTTGTCTGCTCTTTATTCTTGCATACGAGTAAAAGCCTTTATACTTTTCATCTTGGGTTGGTTTATAAATGTTTTTTTCTTTTGTTTCAGCTTCTCGTCGTCAGTTGAATGAGTACATCGATCACTACGAACCACTGGATTATGATGCAGACACGTTGCACGAGCAGCACCTGCGCGCGCGACGGTCTACAGACGTGCCTTCCGATCTGCGTCTTGAATTTAAAGCATATGGAAGGCGATTTAAGATGCGCTTGCGACGAGACTTATCTGCGTTTAGCGAAGACTTTAAAGTACGTACATAATCGTCAAACATATAAATTACCTATGATCAAATTTTGCATGTATTGTAAACAATATCACTGAAGCACGCCACTGGGGTGTCGTTTACAAATTCTTTTTTACTAACGACACCACCTTAATAAAGTTCTAACACAAAACTTATGCATTTATCGTTATCAATTTTTTTCATTCGTAAGATCACGACCATAACAATGTCTAAAAGCATTTCCAGAAGTCGCTTTAAAGATAGTAGATGAAGTGAAACAAATACGGTGAACAAACTCAATAGTTATTGGATAATATCGGATCAAGTTTTTCAGTTTTTTTTTACTACCACATTCACACAACGCCATTTAGTCCCAAACTAAGCAAAGCTTGTTCTATGGCTACTAAATAACTGATATAAATAAATACTTATTATACATAGAAACATCTAGACCAAATCAAACATTAAATGTTCATGCACACAAATGTTTGACTTGAGCGGTAATCGAACCCGCGAAATTTGGAATAGCAGTCCGTTACACAAACCACTACGCCATTCCGTCGTCAATTGTTAATCTAGGTGTAATGGATACGATTACTATGTTGTACGAACTCCTTGTGAACTTGACGAAATTCAACATTATTATTACAAAATTAACACATAACGAATTGTTTTACTTCAGGATACGATCACGATATACATCCTAGTCAGCAGTGGTGTGGTTAACAAAAAATATTTGTAGACCGGTGATGTGGTTCAGTAGTGTCGTTTACAATACACGAAATTTTGTTGGTCGATATTTAAAATATTTAAAATCAATATATATAAGCCAACTTTATGTACTTTACTCTTAAAAGTGACTATTTAATGCGTCTACTCATTGGTGGCATTGTACAATCCTCGATAAACATTGTTCAAAAAAAAAAGGAGATGATAACCAATTACTAGTTTGGTCAATTCGGTTTAACATTGCTTACAAAGGATGGAACGGCATTATATAGTTTATACAACAAACCGAGGAGGAAGAAACATAGCATTTTGTTCTCTAGGAGTCATACCATTTAAAAAATTGCTTTTTATAATACCATTTAAAACACAATCTCAGTTAAATGCCAATGGGAACTGTATGAGTTACATACTTTATTTTTTTACAGATCGAAGGTGCTAAAGGACAGTTACATGACGTCGATACATCACACTTATACCGCGGAGAACTGGCTGGTCAGTACCCTAATGTTATTTAATAATCCCTAAACATGCTCCAGCTTTTGATTTTGAACTTCTTACAGAGTCCAGAGTACGTATGCCTCGCAATGTAGATTTTCAGTATTAGACATCTTAATTTCTTTAATTAACAAATTAACATCGCCCTTGGTGACCAGGGTGATTTTCGTATTAATACTTATTCTGCTATATGCTCTACTTGACATGTTTAACAAGTTTACGTTTAAAACTAATAATATCCCTATCGAATATTTCGGGAGTCACAAAATCACACAAAAAAGTTCACAATAAGTTGATCACTTTAAAGTAAAGCCAGGTTAAGTGAAGAACTTCAGCAGTTTACACAGAGAGCGCACTCACGTACTGACAAGGAAGACCCAAAGTTTGTAGGTAGCGTGCGGCGGAGTGACAGCCGCATCTCGAAACCAACGCCCATTGTACAACGGCCCGAGAACACCGACGTTATCTAAACCCCAGATAGATGCTATTGTTCGCCTTCACCCTTAGGGAAAATTTAATAACTCCCCACTCGGAGTATGTCGACTGCGACTATTTCTCCTTAATTAAACATAAGCTGTACGTTAGTTGCCAATTCACGGTTCACATTGTAAAAAATTGAATATTTGTGAATTTCGCAATGATTTCTCAATTTCCAATCGATACTAATAAATCTTGGAGAGCACTAAAACGCAATTCGTTGTGCAATTAGTGACGAGACAGCGTAAAGTCCTGGTTAATTGGTAGCTTTCAGCGGCCACTCGTCCATTCATACCAGCGAGGCTACGTAGATGTTCTGGATGTTCCGCAGGCTTAACTATTCTATATAAATAATTACACTATTGCAAATTCCAGTCCGCATTCTTGTTTTGAGAAATACGCTAAAGAAATTTTCTAAAGGGATTCATTACATTCCTACGGGTTTTTATAAAAATAAACATCCTAATAACCTAAATACTTGTAAACAAGCACATGGTCTTGAGTCTTGGTCATTACTCCAATTACACCTTTAAATAATATCGATATAACGGAACTTACGTGTCATTAACGTACATTTTCAGTGACTGAAAAATAAGCAGCACAGTTTTTTTGCTAAAATTATCTATCAATCTATGTATATCAATCAAATCTGTATATCAATGCAAGAAAGATGAAACGCAATGAAGATGTGTGCAAGAAAGACAAACTTTATCGCACATCCTACATTGAAAAACGTCAGTAGATATACTTTCACAGGGCATAATATACGTAGTTTATAGTCACAGAAAATATGTTTAATGTGATTACAACACAAATTAACTTTCAATTTTTTTCCTTTAGTTGAATTATGGCACGTCTGGCCAAATTTCGTGATTTTGGGTCAAGGTGAAATACCCTAGTTCATAGTTACGCAAAAAGTATTAAAATAATCGTATATTTGATTGATTGCGTTGATTTAGAAGTTTGTTTTTTACAGCTCCGTGGGACAGTTACATGTTTTTAATATTAATTTGAATTTATGACGTGCCTTTTGGTCTAATGGTTAGTGACCGTTACTGCTAAGCCGATAGACGTGGCTTCAATTCCCACCTAGGACAAATATTGTGTGATGAGAATAATCATTTGTTCTGTGTCTGGGTGTAAATTTATCTATAATATGTATGTATTTAGAACTATAGTTATATTACTATAGTGTAGTAGCTGATAAACATACTTATATATAAGTATGTTTATCAGCAGTCTGGTTACCATGGGACAGGCTCTGCCTAGTTTCGAACCAGACTGCCGTGTGTGAGATGTATCAAGTTCTTTTTTATTTATTCATTAATGTCGCTTTCCTGATTAAAAGGGTCTTGACAAACAAACATCAACAGAGTAATCCTATAAGGGTTCAGTTTGCCCTTTGTTGTACGGAACCCTAAAAAGCCGTATCGACGCTAGTATGATCCCTTCGTCCGCCCTCATTACCATCCATATATTCAGGTAGAGGTGTCCAGATGCGGTATGATATTTACAATTTACGTCTACTACGCATGTGGCCGCCATTCCGATACATTTGCTGACAGGACCCTAGCAAATATGGTAGTTAGCTACAGTATAGTATGAAAATATTCAACAATACTCATAATAAAGGTAAGCTGTAAAAACTCATACCAGGGGTACCGGTGAAAGTTTGGAACAGTGTAAATGGATAAAGTTGAGCAGAGGGCGGCGCGGCATCGATCGCAGTTCGTCGCCCTACTTACAGCGGTCTCCGATGCACTTAGTCGTCTAGTTGCAACCTACGTTTTGCTTGCTCTACCCACCGTCCTCGTATGTACTTATCACCACAGGAAATATTTGCAAATTTCTTTGTTATTTGCGGAATTGTAAAAGCGGTCCCGCATTTTTCGCAGCTATGTGATTTTAGCGTTATATTACTTGATTGGTTGTTATTTATATTATTATAACTTTGTTCTGTAGTTACCTACATACGACACTCATAGTCTGGGTTTTCTGTTATTTCAAGTAGACAGTTTTCCATAGAATATAAGTTGCACAGCAAATAAGTTTCACCAACCTGTTTTTTTTTTTGTCATTATATAAATGCCTGCATGTGAAGTAGCACCTGCACCATTAATTTTTATTTTGACAATGGTTTGAGAACATACCTGTGCCAGAGTTCCTAAAATTTAAAACACGCAGTAAACGATATACGATCACTTTTTGCTTGGTACCTCTTTTCGTTCATTTTTTCTATTAGTCTTACCTTGGTAGTTATATCATCTCTTTGGCAATTTGTAACCTCGCAATCTTTTGTAATAAGTTTTGAATATAAATTTAGTTATAGTCATTAGAAGTGTTAGGCCAAAAAACAATATTTTGGTTCTAAAAACAAACATGTTGAATTGTTCATGAACATGATTCTCTTACTATTCAGGAACCATTCCTATGGTTACGGTAATAGGTAAGTTTTTAAAACTTTTTTTTTTTGGTTTCTTGGACAATGTAAAGTCACCGAAGCCTTTTATCGTTTATGATATAAAATATTATTTTAATAGTCGTATACTAGCAGTAATAATAAAATCTAACCTTAAGCCTATGCTCAGCAGCGTTCCATTGGCGATTCCAAGCAATGTTTTCTTTTTATTTCTCGCATCAGTCAACTGAACTTTTTATAGAACCATGACCTATCAACTGAGTAGTGGTTGATCGTGCTATGTATTTAATACGTTTTCTACCACTATTACCTTTTCTGTTCGAGAAAAGCAACTAATATTAACAAGAACGATGTCGACCAAGTTATTCTATTTTCCTTTGGAATTAAGTTGTACACTGGAGGAGTTGAGTCTAAGTTAGTCTAGTTTAGTTTTTTTTGTGAGACAAATACACGCTTGACCAATAAATATGCATACATATATATATATATATATATATATATATTAGACTTGCAACGAATATTCGGTTACTATTCGGTATTCGGCCTATTCGGCTGCCTTTATTATATTCGGCCGAATACCGAATATCTACATATTATTCGGCCGAATACCGAATACTTAAATAATATATTTTGTCATTGAGAAATAATTGGTAAAATGAAAAATTAAAATCGATTGATTACGTATATATTCATATTTTCATTTCTGTTATAATCATTTAAGTAGTCATTGGTGCATAACACAGGTACATAATCATCTTCTGAATAGGAAAAATGGAGGATTCTATGTATTTGAATTATTGTGGCAATCAAAATTTAGAAGGGTAAGGTTCTTATTTCTTTTATAATCATTTATTAAGTAGTCATTGGTACATAAAACAGGTACATAATTTAATTCACGTCTGTACAAGTTTTTGGCGCTAAAATCCAGCCGAATACTTTTGCCTAATATTCGGCTATTCGGTCAGGGGCCTCGCCGAATATTCGGTATTCGGTATACTGCCGAATATACTATTCCTCGCAAGTCTAATATATATAAATATATATATATATAAATGATGCATGCATATACAAACATCTATTCAAGACCTAAAATGCTCAATAAACAATTTAGTTGCATGTGGTGCATTTGATAGCATGTGTTCGCGACCGTGACACAGATAAAAAATGCATCGTTGTTAGACTATAAACACGTGTATAGCATACCTAAACAGTAAACATGTTATCGGGTAGTAGCGAATTTACCTGTGACTCTTTAGACAGATTGAGATTGGTATCAAAATTAGATATCTTTTTGGCAAATAGACTCTTATACCGCCGAATTTGCTGACTCACCACTTGTATTAATCTCAAGAATTTAAATTTGTTTAGAATTGCCAGAATTTAGTTACTATTTAGCCAAAATTGCCGGCAAACAGTAATTAAGATTATGTAGGTTGTGATCGTAATTTGGAGTAGCTTAAGTTAATGCTACCACATCTTGCAATCCAACTATATACACACATACCTATAAAAGTTACTGAAAATAAACTTGTATTTAAACTTTGGTTAAAATGTTATGTACATGAAAATAAATAATAACAGAAACTTAACAATAATACATTTTATTCTGACCTGTTTTATTGTTAGAAAATGACATAATCTAATAGATATAGTGCTATTTCAGGTCACGCTCAATTACAAAACATGAGAAAACATTATGTAAAGGCAAAGAATTTTGTATGAGAACTTATTCTAGGAAATTCACACTTTCATTGGTCTACAATAGATAGGCAACCGTTAACAGATTATGTGCATAATCACTTGGTTAATATAAAATTTACTCGATAAAAAAATAAAATTAATATCAGCTGAGCTCTTACTTCAGCAAAATGTGCGCGAGTTTTTCCCGTTCGCTCTAAAAGGAGAACGGCAGATCCTGTACCCTTAGTAATATAATACGATAGATGATTATGACCTTTGTACCGTTTATAAGTGAGCCATCCTATTTTCATGTAATTATCATATTTTTAGATGTGTGCTGAAAGTAAATAAATTCGTCTCATAACCTATAGGGTACTTCCGGTTGACCTAGAATTGTCAATTTTGGTTAAAAGTAAAGCAC